GTGGTGCATGCCTATAATCCCAACAGCTAGAGAGGCTGAGGCAGGAGAATTGCTGAGGCAGAAGGTTACAGTGAGCCAAGATTGCACCACTGCACTCCAGCCTGGATGACAGAGTAAGACTCTGTCTCATTTAAAAAAAAAGGCAAAATAAAGACATCTTCAGATAAATGCTGAAAGAATTTGTTGCTAGGAAACTTACCTTGCAAGAAATACTAAAACAAGGCTTTCAGCTTGAAAGGAAATGACACCAGTTGCTAACTTGAATCCATAAGAAGAAATGAGGATTACTTTAAATGGTTAAATATAAGTTAATATAAAGGAGTTTAGAAATATAACTTTTTCATTTTTACTCTTCACCTCTTTAGAAGACATGATTGGACATATAGATATAATTTATATTATAATAGCGTGAAGGAGGATAGAATGGAGCTATAGTGGAGCCAAGTTTCTGTATTTTACCAAAATTAAGTTAGTATTGATGTGAAATAGACTGTGATTAGTTAGGATGTATATTGTAATCCCTAAGTAACCACTAAGAAAATTGTGTATACATATAGATAGGTACATATATATATATGTGTATGTGTATAGTATTATATATATATTTATGTATATATCATATATATTTATCTCAACAAAGGAATTAAATGGGTTATCACAAATATTTATTTAACGTAAGATAGTTAAAAGAAGGACAGAACAACAACAACAACAAAACAGATGATAAGTAGAAAACAAATAGCATGGAAAATAAAAATCCAAGTATTTCAAAACAATAATATGTAAGTGGTCTAAACACACTGATAAAAGGATAGAAATTATTAAATTGGATTTACAAAAAAATCAAGATTCAATTATATGCTATTTAAAGTAGACACACCTTAGATTCAAATACACAAAAGGTTGAAGTAAAAAAGTACAAAAGATACACTATGCAAACAAAAATATAATAGCTGACTAACTACAATAATGCCAGACAAAATAGTTTTTAAAACTAGAAATACATATTACCGAAGACATAGTGGCATGTCACAATGATTAAAGCATCAATTCATTAGGAAGACAGGGCAATTATAAGTGTATACGCAACTAACAATACAACACAATCACCTCATAATACTTGAAGCAAAACTCAACAGAATTGAAAGGAGAAATAGTCAATTTGGCAATAATATTTAGAAATTTCAGTATTCTACTCTCAATACTTGAAAAGACAACTGTATAGAAAAATCTGGCTAGGCACAGTGGCTCAAGCCTGTAATCCCAGGACTTTGGAAGGCTGAAATGGGTAGATTGCTTGAGCTCAGAAGTTGGAGACCAGCCAGCAAAATGGCAAAACCCCATCTTTACAGAAAAATACAAAAATTAGTTGGGTGTGTTTGTACATGCCTGTAGTTCCACTGCTTGGGAGGCTGAGGTGAGTGGACCACATGAGCCCAGCAGGTAGTCAAGGCTGCAGTGAGCCATGATCATGCTACTGCACTCCAGCTTAAGTGACAAGAGTGATACCCTGTCTCAAAAAAACAAAAACAAGAATATCTATGGTAAATAAAAACTTGCCATACAATCCAACAAATCATTTCCAGGAATTTCTAAGAGAAAAGAAAACTGTATTCACACGAAGACCTATATGTGAATGGGTTTTTGTTGTTGTTGTTGTTGTTTTGTTTTGTTTTGTTTTTGAGACAGAGTCTTACACTGTCGCCAGGCTGGAGTGCAGTGGCGTGATCTTAGCTCACTGAAACCTCCACCTCCTGGGTTCAAGCAATTCCCCTGCCTCAGCCTCCTGAGTAACTGGGACTACAGGCACATGCCACCACGCCTGGCTAATTTTTATTTTTTTTTTTGGATTTTAGTAGAGAGATGGGGTTTCACCATACTGGCCAGGATGGTCTTGATCTCCTGACCTCATGATCTGCCTGCTTTGGCCTCCCAAAGTACTGGGATTACAGGCGTGAACCACCATGCCCGGCCATATGTAAATGTTTATTGCAGAATTATTTATAATAGCTAAAAGCTCACAATAATCCAAATGTCTGCAGATAAACAAAATGTGGTATATCTAAACAAGGGAATACTGTTTTGCAGTGAAAAGGAATGAACTACTAATGGTGTAAAATTCCCAAATCACTGAATCGTGCACTTTATTTTTTATTTATTTATTTATTTTTTTTGAGACGGAGTTTCACTCTTGTTACCCAGGCTGGAGTGCAATGGCGCGATCTCGGCTCACCGCAACCTCCGCCTCCTGGGTTCAGGCAATTCTCCTGTCTCAGCCTCCTGAGTAGCTGGAATTACAGGCACGTGCCACCATGCCCAGCCAATTTTTTGCACCTTTAGTAGAGACGGGGTTTCACCATGTTGACCAGGATGGTCTCGATCTCTTGACCTCGTGATCCACCCGCCTCGGCCTCCCAAAGTGCTGGGATTACAGGCTTGAGCCACCGCGCCCGGCTTGAATCGTGCACTTTAAATGGGTAACTTATATAAATGTGAGTATTGATAAAGCTGGGTTTTGTTTTGTTTTGCGATGGGTCTCTGTCACCAGGCTAGAGTGCAGTGGTACTATCATAGCTCACTGCAGCCTTGAACTACTGGGCTCAAGTGATCCTCTACCTTACCCTCCTGAGTAACTGGAACTGTAGGCATATGCTACCACATCCACCTAATTAATATTTTTTTTAAGAGACAGAAGCTCATTGCGTTTCCCAGGCTGGTGTCAAACTCCTGGGGTCAAGCGATTGACCCCCCTTGCCTTGATCTCCCAAAGTACTGGGATTACAGGTGTGAGCCACTGTGCCCAACCTGTTTTCTAAAAAAGTAGTAAACTTGGATCAGGTGCAGTGGTTCATACCTGTAGCCCCAGCACTTCGAGGGGCTGAGGTGGACAGACCATTGAGGCCAGAAGTTTGAAACAAGCCTGGGCAACATGGTGAGACCTCATCTCTACAAAAAATACAAAAATTAGCTGGGGTGGTGATGTGTGCCTATAGTCCCAGTTACTCTGGAAGCTGAGGTAGGCTGATGGCTTGAGCCCAGAAGGCAGAGGTTGCAGTGAACTGTGATTGTGCCACTGCACTCCAGTCTAGGTGACAGCGTGAGACTCTGCCTCAAATAAATAAATAACTAAAATAATAAATAAAAAAGTAATGAACCAACTGATAGATGCTATAGCATGGATGAACCTCAAAAACATGCTAAGTGAAAGAAGGCAGATGGAAAAGACTGTATTTTATGATACCACTTATATGAAATGCTCTTATTATAGAACATACCCCAGAGATGTTAAAATTTGAGAAAGCTTATGTCTTTGAATCAATGAAATACAGTATTTATCACAAAGGTGGTAGGATTGTGAGTGATTTTTAGAATTTACAATTAACATTGTTGGATTGTTTGTTCAAACAGCTTTATTGAGGTAAAATTGACAAATAAACTGCATATATTTAAATTGTACAATTTTAAAGTTTTGACGTATCTGTACATCTGTGGAACTATCACCACCATCAAGATAATGAAGGTACACGCATTAGCTCCCAAAGTTTTTTGTGTCTTCTATTATTCCTTTGCCCACTTCTGTCCACTCCTTCCCCTCTAGCCTGGCCTCCTTTGGTCTGTTTTTTTTCATTCAACATAAATTATTTTCAGAATCATCCATGTTGTCTAATTTAAAAATCATTTATTTAAAAAGATAATTTTTAGGGAAAAAATTGTTATACAATCCTTTTCTAGTGATTTATCTATACAGGTATTGATCGACTTACAACCTATGTAACTTATGACCATTCGACTTTACGACCACAATCACTAGCCACTACTGCTCTGCGTCTGGCAGTGCAAACGTTGCCCAGCTGGGCCTACGACAGTGTGGACCAACTTCCGGCAGCACTACCATCTCCACATGCACCATTTCAACTGTACATGTAGCCTACTCAACTTACAACCAAATCGTGTTACGACTGTTCCGCGTTCCCAACCGTGGTCGTAAGTCGAGCACTACCTGTAGTTTGAATTTTTCCATACAAAGGTTTTGCTTTGAACTTTTTAAACTTGCCTTATCCTTCCAATTATAACTGCTAGGTCATGGTAACTAAATAGATACTATTTCTTGTATAGAAGTGAATTCAACCTCTTAATGTTAATTAATTAATTAATTTTTAAAAAATGGAGTCTTGCTCTATCACCCAGGCTGCAGTACACCATCTCAGGTCTTTGTAACCTCTGCCTCCCAGGTTCAAGTGATTCTCCTGCCTCAGGCCTGTGCCACCACACCCGGCTAATTTTTGTATTTTTAGTAGAGACAGGTTATCACCATGTTGGCCAGGCTAGTCTCAAACTTCTGATCTCAAGTGATCCGTCTGGCTCGGTCTCCTAAAGTGCTGGGATTACAGATGTGAGCCACTGCACCCAGGCTTTTTTTTTCTTTTTGACAGGATCTCGTTCTGTAGCCCAGGCTGGAATGTAGTGATACAGTCAGTCATGGTTCACTGCAGCCTTGACTGCTTGGGCTCAAGCGATTCTCCCACCTCAGTCTCCCCAGTAGCTAGGACTACAGGCATGTGCCACCAGACTTTGCTGATTTTTTTTGTTTGTTTTTATAGAGATAAAGTCTCACTATTTTGCCTAAGCTGGTCTCAAACTACTAAGCTCACATAGTCCTCCTGCCAAAGTGCCTGGATTACAGGTGTGAGCCACCATGTCCAGCCTAATTTGAAATTCTTTGTCAAAGATTAAAAGCATTCTGATTATAAGAGTTATGATACACCAGAATGAAGCCAGGTTGTAAGGTGTCCTCTAAATCCTTTAAATGATAGAGTAGGCAACTAACTTTCTGTGGTGATTTTACCTGTTCTAAAAGAGGGAAATACAATGAATTGTTTCAGGTTCCTTCTCTCTCTAATGTTAAATGCTGAAATTGTTTGGAAAACTAAATAATAAAAAAAAAAATGGCTTTCTTTGAAGTTTGTCTCATGTATTGCTTTTGTTTTTTTGTTTTTCAGACCAAGTGTTTATTCAGCTTGTTTCGGGATCTTGGCCATCACTTGATTCATAATAATAAAATAGGAGGAATTATTTCTCCACTGTCCAAGCCAGCTGTTCCTAAGAATCTGAAAGAAGATAAACCAGTGAAAGAAAAAGATATAGATGGAAGGCTGAGGCCTGGGGATATGGTAGGTTGTTGAGAAGGTGATGATTTTGCTTGTTAGTTTACATTCCAGAGGCTTCACTGATTTCTCACTTGGTGACTTATATCAATGTTAGTTTGCATTTTTAAAAAAATTTTACTTTAGGTTCTGGGATACATATGCAGAATGTGCAGGTTTGTTACATAGGTATACATGTGCTATGGTGGTTTGCTGTACCTATCAACCTGTCATCTAGATTTTAAGCCCTGCATACATTAGATGTTTGTCCTAATGCTTTCCATCCCCTTGCCCCTCACCCCCAACAGACCCTGGTATGTGATGTTCCCCTCCCTGTGTCCATGTGTTTTCATTGTTCATTTGCCACTTAATGAGAACATGCAGTGTTTGGTTTTCTGTTCCTGTGTTAGTTTGCTGAGAATGATGGTTTCCAGCTTCATCCATGTCCCTGCAGAAGACGTGAGCTCATTATTTTTTATGACTGCAGTTAGTTTGCATTTTGATGCAATGTAGAGATCATTGTTCTTGTCATTATGAAGACCGTGTAGGAATTCAGTTTTTGAGGTATGTTCATTTTCTTTCAGCAGGCACCTAGTATAAAATCTCAGAGCTCAGATACTCCTTTGGAAGGTGAACCCCCTCTAAGTCACAATCCTGAAGGACAGGTAACTATGCATGAAGTTTGGAAAACTAAGATTAAGTTAACCAGACCTGTATTAAGCAAGTATTTTCATTGGAAAATGCTCAGGGCAGGATGTTAGTTATCATCCTGTATTTGTCCATGACCAATTTATTACTTTGGGCAAATTTCTCTGTCTTGTTGAAACTCTGTAAAATAAACTGATACCGGGTTAATTATAAGGTCCTTTCCAGCCGGGCATGGTGGCTCACGCCTATATTCCCAGCACTTTGGGAGGCCGAGGCGGGTGGATCACGAGGTCAAGAGATCGAGACCATCCTGGTCAACAAGGTGAAACCCCATCTCTACTAAAAATATAAAAATTAGCTGGGCATGGTGGCATGTGCCTGTATTCCCAGCTACTCTGAAGGCTGAGGCAGGAGAATTGCTTGAACCCAGGAGGTGGAGGTTGTGGTGAGCTGAGATCGCGCCATTGCACTCCAGCCTGGGTAACAAGAGCGAAACTCCATCTCAAAAAAAAAAAAAAAAAAAAGTCCTTTCCAGCATTAAAATTTTATACCTTTTATTAATTCTACTATGTTAAACATTATAAGGGATGCAAAGATGTATCATCTGCAGCATTTATTCGTCTGCCTTCAGGAAACTCAGCATCTGGCAGGAGAAACAGACAAGTACATAACTAACCATAGTATATAATTTTGATGAGTGCTGTAATAGAAGTACAAATAAAAGTTCTGTATGGGCTCTGAGGAGACAAAGATTAGGATGGGGCAGTCTAAGGGAAGGCTTCATGAAGGAGGTGATATCCATACTAAGTAATGAAAGATGAAGAGACTTGTTTGCCAGATGAAGATGGAGGGAGAGGCATTTCAGAGCTAGGGAACAACTAGAGAGAGAACAACACAGAGAATATGCAAGAGCAGAATTTATAGTGTGTCAGTTAATTACAGTGTATGGTATACAGAGTAGTTAAAGGAGAGATTTTATAAAGAGGTAGGAAAGACAAGAGAGGCTGAATCGGGTAATGGAAAGACTTGAAAAAGTCTTTAAAAGTCTTTAAAACTTCTTTAAAAGTTTGGACTTTATTGCATAGCTGATGAGGGATTCTGGAAACTCTTCTTTGAGATTCACACCAAAGGTTTTGAAGTCACGTAGAAATAAGACCTCATGTGTGTTTCAGGAATTCTTGCAAGGGTGTAAAAAAAAGAGACTGGCTGGGCGCGGTGGCTCACGCCTGCAATCCCAGCACTTTGGGAGGCCCAGGCGGGTGGATCACGAGGTCAAGAGATCGAGGCCATCCTGGTCAACATGGTGAAACCCCGTCTCTACTAAAAATACAAAAAATTAGCTGGGCATGGTGGCACGTGCCTGTAATCCCAGCTACTCGGGAGGCTGAGGCAGGAGAATTGCCTGAACCCAGGAAGCGGAGGTTGCGGTGAGCCGAGATTGCGCCATTGCACTCCAGCCTGGGTAACAAGAGCGAAACTGTCTCAAAAAAAAAAAAAAAGAGAGAGACTGAAGGTAGGGCAGGACTGCAGGCTTTTCTTATAGTATAGATGAGTGTTGACAGTTTTATTTAGGGCAGAGGTTGTAGTAAAGAAAGTCAGAAACCTGCAGAGGCAAGGAGTTAGCAATTGGGAAGCTTTGGGGGTACTGATGAAGAAAAGTTAAAGATAACTCAAGTTGCAAGCCTCACTTTTGGGAAGGATGGCAACACCACTAAGAGAAAAGTAAAAAAAGAGACTGACATTGGGGAAATAATAAATTCAAGTTTGGACATGTTGTATTTAGGATACTGGCAAAAATCTGGGTATATTTCTAGCAGTTGGAGTTGGTAGCTTGTAGTGAAGAGACTGTAAGTAAAAATATAAGAAGGAAGAGAATATTTCTGCAGGAGCCACCTGAAAGAAGGTTGCTGGAAGAAAGAATAGCATTCATGTAAAACAGATCCTGGGAAAGTATTGTGAAGCCCTGTTTATATAGTTATATATGGAGTTTTCTCACTTAATATATTGTGAGCATCATCTTATATTAGTAAATTTTTCATAAATTTTTTTTCTGGAAATAATTCATAAAAAAAAAACAATGCCTTTACAGCAATACATAGAAGCAAGGACATACATTGTGTTAGAAATTCAGCTGGACAAAGCCTTGGTTCCAAAGCGAATGCCAGAGGAGCTAGCCAGAAGGTATGTAGCTATGGTGGTTATACTAGTTTTATACAATTTGGGTGTAAATAAGAGGAAGTCAGAGTGTTCCCATGGTTGTAATTTACCTTGGGCTAAGCAGGAGTTATCTGGTTTTGTTCTATATGAAGTTTTTTGTTGTTGTTGTTATTGTTGTTACCTTATCACAAAAGCATTGTATGCTCATTATAAAAATTTTTAGGGCTTTTCCTCCCTGGCTGTTGAAGGATAAGCCGCCATCATGAACAACATCAGTAACTATCCGCACTAGAAAATTCGTGACCAACTGACTACTTCAGAGGAAACAAATGGTCATTGATGTCCTTCACCCCAGGAAGGCAACAGTACCTAAGACAGAAATTCGGGAAAAACTAGCCAAAATGTACAAGACCACACCGGATGTCATCTTTGGATTCAGAACTCATTTTGGTGGTGGCAAGACAACTAACTTTGGCATGATTTATGATTCCCTGGATTATGCAAAGAAAAATGAACCCAAACATAGACTTGCAAGACATGGCCTGTATGAGAAGAAAAAGACCTCAAGAAAGCAACGAAAGGAACTCAAGAACAGAATGAAGAAAGTCAGGGGGACTGCAAAGGCCAATGTTGGTGCTGGCAAAAAGTGAGCTGGAGATTGGATCACAGCCGAAGGAGTAAAGGTGCTGCAATGATGTTATCTATGGCCATTGTGGATTTTTCACGAGAAGCTTAATAAACTAAAAACTTTCATATGAAAAAAAAATTTTTTTTTAGGAAGCTGGGTGACGTGGTTCACGCCTATAATCCTAGCACTTTGGGAGGCCAAGGCAGGCGGATTCCCTGAGCTCAGGAGTTCAAAACCAGCCTAGGCAACACGGTGAAATCCCGTCTCTACTAAAATACAAAAATTAGCCAGGTATGACAGCATGCGCCTGTAATCCCAGTTACTCAGAAGGCTGAGGCAAGAGAATTGCTTGAACCCGGAGGCGGAGGTTGTAGTGAGCCTAGATCACAGCACTGCACTCCAGCCTGGAAAACGGAGCAAGACTCTGACTCTAAAAAAAAAAAAAAAAAAAAAAAAAAAAAAAAAAAAAAATTTATGAAATAGGGATGAACAAGAAAGTATATAAAAATACCCAAGCCAGGGCTGGGCGCGGTGGCTCAAGCCTGTAATCCAAGCACTTTGGGAGGCCGAGGTGGGTGGATCACGAGGTCAAGAGATCGAGACCATCCTGGTCAACATGGTGAAACCCCATCTCTACTAAAAATACAAAAAAATTAGCTGGGCATGGTGGCACATGCCTGTAATCCCAGCTACTCAGGAGGCTGAGGCAGGAGAATTGCCTGAACACAGGAGGCGGAGGTTGTGGTGAGCCGAGATCGTGCCATTGCACTCCAGCCTGGGTAACAAGCGTGAAACTCTGTCTCAAAAAAAACAAAAACAAAAAAAAAAAACACCCAAGCCAGGTGTGGTAGCTCATTCATGTAATCCCAGCACTTTGGGAGGCTGAGGCAAGAGGATCACTTGAGCCCAGGAGTTTGAGACCAGCTTGGGCAACATAGTGAGACCCCATCTCTATAAAGAATTTTAAGAATTAAGTTAAAATTTAAAAAATTAAAATATTAAAACATCCAGATCTCTATTCACCTAATGATAACCTTGGTATTGTTATCCTTCTGGAGTTATTTTAAAGCCCCCCCATATTACACATAAACACACTCATGTTACATATACATATATGTAATTTTTAAAAACTGTCTATATTGTACCATAGTGCTTTGCTTGTGGGTTACTAGGAAATTGTGCATTCATCTGGGTTATTCAACTTCTTGGCATACAGTTGTTCATAGTATTCTCTAATACTTCTTTTTATCCCTGTAAAATTGATAGTAATGTTTCCACTTTCATTTCTGATTTTAGTAAGTTGTCTTCTCTCTTTTCTTAGTCAATCTTGCTAAAGATTTGTCAATCTTATTGATCTTTTCAGAAAACCAACTTTTAAATCTTATTGATTTTCTCTATTATTTTTCCATTCTCTAATTTGTTTCTACTCTAATCTTCATTCTTCCCTTATTATGTCTTCTGCTAGCTTTACACATAGCGTACACACCTTTTGCTCGTTCCTTAAGGTATATAGTTTTGTTATTGATTTTGAGTTTTCTTCTTCTTTAATGTATGTGTTGAAAATTATGTATTTCCCTCTGAATACTGCTTCACTACATTTCGTAAGTTTTTTTTTTTTTTTTGAGACGGAGTTTCGCTCTTGTTACCCAGGCGGGAGTGCAATGGCGCGATCTCGGCTCACCGCAACCTCTGCCTCCTGGGTTCAGGCAATTCTCCTGCCTCAGCCTCCTGAGTAGCTGGGATTACAGGCACGCGCCACCATGCCCAGCTAATTTTTTTGTATTTTTAGTAGAGACGGGGTTTCACCACGTTGACCAGGATGGTCTCGATCTCTTGACCTCGTGATCCACCCGCCTGGGCCTCCCAAAGTGCTGGGATTACAGGCTTGAGCCACCGCGCCCGGCTACATTTCGTAAGTTTTTATTTGGTTTTTGTTTTCATTTGTCTAAAGGTTTTTTAAAAATTTCCCTTCTGATTTCTTCTTTGACTCATTGGTTGTGTGTGTTTCTTAATTTTCTTATTTCAATTACTTAATATTCTTATTTTCTTAATTTTCAGTCCTCTTTCTGTTACTGAGTTTTAGTTTTATTTCACTATGATCAAAAAATATGCTTCATATGATTTCAATCTTTTTTTTTTTGAGACAGAGTTTTGTTCTTGTTGCCCAGGCTGGAGTGTAATGGTGCGATCTTGGCTCACTGCAACCTCCACCTCTCAGGTTCAGGCAATTCTCCTGCCTCAGCCTCCCAAATAGTTGGATTATTGGCATGCACCACCATGCCTGGCTAATTTTGTATTTTTAGTAGAGACAGGGTTTCTCCATGTTGGTCAGGCTGTTGAACTCCTAACCTCAGGTGATCCACCCGCCTCGGCCTTCCAAAGTGCTGGGATTACAGGTGTGAGCCACCATACCCAGCCATGATTTCAGTCTTTTAAAATTTATTTATATTTATTTTGTGGCCTGACATATGGTCTGTCCTGCAGAATGGTCTACATGCACTTGAGAACAATGTGTAATCTGTTGTTATTGGGTAGAATGTTCTATATATGTCTTTTGGGTCTAATTGGTTTATAGGGTTGTTCAAATCCTTTCATTTCTTTCTGTTTTTTGAGATGGATTCTTTCTCTGTTGCCCAGGCTGGAGTGCAGTGGCATGATCTTGGCTCACTGCAATCTCTGCCTCCTGAGTCCAAGCAATTCTCCTGCCTCAGCCTCCCAAGTAGCTGGGACTATAGGAGCACACCACCATACCCGGTTAATTTTTTTTGTTTTGTATTTTCATACAGATGGGGTTTCACTGTGTTGCCCAGGCTGTTCTTGAACTCCTGAGCTCAGGCAATCCACCCACCTTGGCCTCCCAAAGTGCTAGGGTTACAGGTGTGAACCACCATGCCTAACCTAAATCCTTTATTTCTTTATTAATCTCCTGTCTGGTTGTTTTATCTATTATTGAAGGTAGAGTATTGAAGTCTCTGTTATTGTAGGACTATCAATTTCTCCCTTCAATTCTGTCAGTTTTTGCTTTATAAATTTTGGGGTTCTGTTGTATATGTTTATAAATGTATTTTATTGCCATATTGAAACTTTTATCAATATTTAATGTTCTTATTTGTTTTTTGTAACTTCTTTTTATTTGAAGTTTATTTTGTCTGACAATAATATAGCCATCTCAGCTCTTTGGTTACTATTTGTCTGGAATATCTCATTTTATCCTAACTTTGACTTCCTTCTGTTCTTATATCTAAAGGGAGTATCTTGTAGACAGCAGATAGATTCTGTGTGAGTTTTTCTAATGTAATCTGCCAATCTCTGCTTTTTAATAGGAAAGTTTAATCCATTTACATTTAATGTGACTACTGATAAAGGAGGATTTACTTCTGTCATTTATCTGTTCATTGTCTGCATGTCTTACATACATATATTTTGTTTTTCACTTCCTTTGTTACTGCCTTTTTATATTTAGTTGATTTTTTGTAGTATAACATTTGGATTTCCCTTTTTTTTCCTTTTCTGTATATTTTTTAGTTGTTGTCTTAGTGGTTAACCTGGAGACAACAATTAACATCTTAAACCTGTAATGTCTTAGTTTGAATACAAACTTAATTTCAGTACTATACATTCTATTCATATATATCTCCATCCTTCCCCTTTTATATTGTTATTGTCACAGGTTACAAATTATCTATTGTGTGCCTATTAACATAGACATCATTATTATTTTATGCATTTGTCATCAAAAAAAAAGAGAAAAGAAAGAAGAGTTACAAGTCAAAAGTACAATAATACTGGCTTTTATATTTACCTTTACTAGTGTTCATTATTTCTTCATCTGGCTTCAAGTTACTGATTAGTGTTCTGTCATTTCAGCCTGAAGGACTATAGTATGTCTTAGTGTGGATATCTGAGTTTTTCCTGCTTGGAGTTTATTAAGTTTTTTGGATATGTTGATTCATGTCTTTTATCAAATTTGGGAAATTTGGGCCCATTATTTATTCAAAATCTTTTCTTCTCCCTTTCTTCTCTGGAAACTTCTTCTTCCATAATGTGTATGCTGGCCAGCTTGATGGCATCCTATAGGTCTTAGATTCCGTTCACTTTTCTTCACTCTTTTTCTTTCTGTTCCTCAGACTGAATTATTTCAATTGTTCTGTCTTCAGGTTTACTGATTTTTTCTTCTGCCTGATCAAATCTGCTGTTGAACCCTTTGGTGAATTTTTTATTCCAAATATTGTATTTTTCAGCTCTAGACTTCTTGTTTTTTAAAAAAATAATTTCTATCTCTACTTATGCTCTAATTTTATTCATACATTGCTTTTCTTGTTTCTGATACTCTAATTTTGTTCATATATTGCTTTTCTTGTTTCTCTTCATTTTGTCCATGGTTTCCTTTAGCTTT